AGAAGATCTATCTAGTGGTGTCAGTGGGGTGTTGAAGTCCCCTGTTATGATTGTGTTGCTGTCGAGTTCTTCTTGGAAGTCCTCCAGAAGATTTAAAATATATTTTGGTGCTCCTATATGGGGTGCATATATGTTTATCAAGGTTATATCTTCCTGTTGGAAAGATCCTTTCAATATTATGTAGTGTCTCTAGTTATGGCCTTCATTTTGAAATATATTTTATCAGATATGCGTATTGTTACACCAGCTTTTTTTTCCCTTTCCATTTGCTTGAAAGATTTTTTTCCATCCCGTCACTTTCAACCTATGTGAGTCTTTTGTTGTGAGGTGGGTCTCTTGTAAACAACATATAGATGAGTCATCCTTTCTTATTCAGTCAGCTACTCTGTGTCTTTTTATCAGAGCATTCAATCCATTTACATTTAAGGTGATTATTGATATGTACTTATTTATTGCCATTTTTTTTTAGTGTGGTTATATTTTTCTTCCTGTTTCTTCTACTAATTACGGCAGTTCTTTTAACATTTCTTGTAGTGCTGGTTTGGTGCTAATGTATTCCCTTAGCCTTTTTTTTTGGTCTGGGAAGCTCTTTATTTGACCTTTCTTTTTTTTTTTTTAATTTTTAGTCCTCATTTGAGGAAATTTTTCCATTTTTTGTTCAGATAGAGTGTGAGCGAGAGAGGGAGAGAGAGAGAGAAACATCGACGTGAAAGGGACACATCGAGTGGCTGCCACCCACACGACCCAACTAGGGCCAGGGACAAACTGCAACCGAGGTACATGACCTTAGCGGGACGCGAATTCCGGTCTGTCTGGACTGTAGGCCAACGCTCTAATCTCTGAGCCAAACCAGCCAGGGCTACAGCAGTCCTTTTAACATTTCTTGAAGTACTGGTTTGATGCTAATGTATTCCCTTAGCCTTTTTTTTTTGTCTGGGAAGCTCTTTATTTGACCTTCTATTTTGAATGATACCTAGGTGGGTAGAGTAGTGTTGGATTCAGATCCTTGTTTTTCATGACCTTGCTTACTTCGTGCCATTGCTTTCTGGCCTGTATGTTTCTGTTGAGAAGTCAGCTGAGAGCCTTATGGCGTTTCCTTTGTAGGTAACCTGTTGCTTATTTCTTGTCGCCTTTAGGATTCTCTCTTTGTCTTTAATTTTTGGCATTTTAAATACTATGTGTCTTGGTGTGGGACTGTTTGGGTTCTTCTTACTTGGGGCTCTCTGTGCTTCTTGAACTTGAATGCCTTCTTCCTTCATCAAATTAGGGAAGTTTTTTGTCACAATTTCTTTAAATATATATTCTAACCCTTGCCCATTTTCTTCCTCTTTGGGGACTTTTATGATGCGAATGTTACTACGTTTCCAGTTGTCCCACAGTTCTCTTAAGCTGTCTTCCTGTTTTTTAATTGTTTTTTTCTTTTGGTTTTCTGATTGGTTGATTTTTTTCTACCCTGTCTTCTAATTCACTGACCTGGTCCTCAGCTTCCTCTACTCTGCTGTTTAGACCTTCCATTGTGTTCTTTACTTCTGATATGTCATTCTTTATTTTTTCTTTGTTGTTTTTAATTTCCAGTTGGTTGATTTTCAATGTTTCTATGTATTTACTCATGGTGTTGACGTCCTTACTCATGCTGTTGAGCTTCCTCAAGATCATGACTCTGAATTCTAGCTCAGTTAACTTGCTTAACTGCACCTCATTTATCTCATCTTCGGAAGAGGTCACTTGTTCTTTTATTTGGCATTTGTTTTTTTGTTTCACTATTTTGGCTATCTCAGTGGGCTTTGGACCTGCCAAATTTTTTCTGTGGGTGTTGGTATTCTTTTTTTTGTGGCTTCCTCTACTGGGATTGGTTGAGCATGGGAGCACCCACGTTAAACACCACTGTCAAGTCTTACTTTCTTGGGTAGAGGTGCAAGCACAGGAATGGTTTAGTTATCCTCTAGCTTTTTGCCTGGAGGCTATTAGTCCCATTACTTGAAGAGCCTTGGGTTCTCTGTTGAATGAAAAACTCGCTCAGTTGTTCAGTGAAAGGGGATTTCCAGAGGGTCAGGCAGATGCTGGTTGTTAATAAGCCTCAATTTGCATTTTAATGGCCCACCAGGTGGGGTTGAATCTCTGAGGGAGGGGCCACTGCCTCTCCCCAGAGCCCCTGGGAAGAAGTAGGATGGCCACCATCCTGTTGGGCCACAACTCAGCAAAAGCTCTGAGTGCTCTCCATATCCCAAGTGTCCCTACACTGTGCCAGTCCAGTGTGCCCTCCCTCTGCTGGATTCAAAGGTGAGTGGCTGTGGCTTTTTTAGCATCTGTCCCAGCTTTCTGCGCTGTGGTTCAGCTTGGTAGTTTCACCCCGAGGGCGCTGCTCAGCTAACACCGCTGCTGTTCGTGGGCTCCCAGTCCTCTCACGACTCCACAGTCCTACCAGGATCGATTCAGTGTTCCTGGTTATATGGTTCTCGCAAGCTACTTTTCTGTTGTTTTTTACTGATTATTTGTCTATATTTTAGTTATAATTCCAGTTTGGTCCTGGGAGATGGTCTATGTATCTTCCGTTCACTCTGGTGCCATTTTGGAATCTCAGAATTTCTTTAAATTATCTTTTCCTCTCAGTTTTCATGCACCCTTGCTATCATATTTATGTATATTTAATTTCAGGTACCTATGAGAATCTTTAAGTGGAGATATCAAGGAAAACTATCTTAGAAGCTCAGGAGAGAGATCAGGGTTGCAAGTCCATAGTTTGAATTAATCTGAACATGGATATCAGTTGAAAAATGAGAGGAGGAAAATAACCTGGAGAGCATATCGAGTGAGAAGAGGGCTAAGAACATACCATGATAAACATTTTATACTTATATGGTAGACAAGGAACCACCGAGGGAAATTGAGGTATGAAGAGCGTGTGATACAATATAAATTACAGAGAGCCAGACTATATACTTACCCTTGTTTAAATAGGTAGTTTACTTTCCCACTTCTGCATATTGAATTAGGTTCTTTCTCTGCATCAAGTACTATTTTACCATCTCTACCCATCTAAAGGATACCAACCATTCGGGCACAGCTCACATGCCTATGTTACTTGAACCTTCTCTGATCTCATAGCTGAATGGACTTCCTTTTCTCTGTATTGGAGTGTGCTTTTGTGCTTCTCCTTCTGCACAGATTGCATGTTTTCATCTATTACATTTACTTGTATCTATTTTATATCCTTATAGATATGTATTCTCAAGTTGATTATGTTCTGCCTCACAGAAATTATTATGGACTCTTCTTCTGTGAACTCAGTGAAAATTTGAGAGGATTAGTAAATCTAAGCTCTTTTAGTACAACTAGGCAGTATTACTATTGCAAATTTAGTGGAATACCTAATATACTAAGTGAAATATTCTGATTCAGAATCATGTATATGGACTTGATTATTGTGCAAAATTAAATTCAATGCATTAAAGTACAAGGTTAGAGTAACACTGACTGTAATAATTTATGTAGAAAAGGTGTTTGATTTTTAGTTGGTCTAACGCCAGTCTGCAATTTAGATGTTTTTTTAAAAAGTTAGAGCAGTGTCAGGCACATCAGAAGCATGCTTTAGGAAAGTGACAGGCTCAGATATTGTGGTCTGGGCACATCAGCGGAGAGGTAGCCCAGGACTGCAGCATTGCAGCCTTTGACCCAGGAGATACATTGTGCTGCTTCAGTGGCCTCTTGCACAGGTTGGTGGAAAGAGACTTGAATGTGTAGTCAGAGGAACCGCATTTAAGTATTAATCTTAGCAGTTACTGGTTCTAAAGCATTAGACAATTTGTTTTTACTTCTTTGAGCCCCAGTAATCTCACCTAAAATTGTAGGTAATTCCCGGTCTTATAGTTAAGGGTTGTAATGAAGATTAAAGGAGGTGTTCAGGTGAAGGGTTCTTTATAAACTCTGAAGTGCTATGTGATCCATGCTGGTTATGATTACTGTCATTTGCTCTGGTAAGGTGCCTAGTCACAGTTTCCATTCTACGTGGTACAGTCTCATTTCAAATTCCATACAAAGCAGTTCCTTCTTCAAAGTGATAACTAAAAAGCAAAGTCAAGAAGTTGTAATGCCTTATTAAATGCATTTCATGTTCCTAAATTTCCTCAGAAGCCCCTTGAAAGGTTCTTAGGAATTTGTTCCTCCTAATTGTGCCTCGCTTCCTTGGAACAATGAAGATATTTCTTTATTGGATGATTATGAATATTCTAAGATATAAAACAACTTTGTATTGGGCATTATGAACCTTACCATATTAAATATTATTTTGAGATAGCGGTAGCTGAGTTAGTTAATGCATACTTTACAGCCTAATACCGTATAGATTTATCACATATCATTTAATAAAACAGTGCTTGTGGTTATTTATCCACAATGTTGGACATCAGTTGCTTAGTCAGGAACATATCCTCTTATTACACTATCATTGTTATAACAAATTATATTTTATATGCACTTCTCACCAATAATATTTCCTCATAAATAAAATAAGGTCAGAAGTTTTTGGTATTATATGTTTCAGGTTTTGTATTTTTAGACGTATGTTGACAGACTAGACTGTGGCCAGAAGACCAGCAGATTGGTGAGGTGATGTTGAAACTATGATAAGATAACTGGTGACTGTGACAAGAGACATTTACTGTTGTTAACCACCATTACTACCACCCCTTCACCCACTGCTCCAACTACCACATCATTTTATCCAATAGGGATAGTGGCCATCTTTGTCTCCCTTTCTTCTGTCTCAGGGTAAGGGATGTCCCTCTCTGCCTCTTCAGTCCTTCCCAATTACTTTAGATTTCTTCTCCAGATTACTGCATGCTTGGAAGCTTAGATTTGGCTTTTGAGTTTACTTCGGATCACTGTTAGTATAAGTTAGAATAGCAGTCAGAATTCTATTAAATTTTATTTGTGAAAAAGTGAGAGTAGAGTTTTTAATAGTGCATAATGTAGAGTAAATTGTGGACTCTTTGCCTTTTCAGCCAAAGATGTAACTTATATATGTCCATTCACTGGTGCTGTAAGAGGAACTCTCACTGTCACGAATTACAGGCTATATTTCAAAAGCATGGAACGGGTAAGACTTGTTGGATTGGATTTTTATATGTACATTTCTGTTTCATTTGCAGACAGTTTTAGTCATTTTTGATCATTTTTAATTGAAGCATTACTAATTAAGATTTTTCTCAGGTATAATTGTACAGTATCCATTGATCAGTTGTGTTTTGTTTCTTTCCTTCCTTTAGGATCCTCCATTTGTTTTAGATGCCTCTCTTGGTGTGATAAGTAGAGTAGAAAAAATTGGTGGTGCTTCTAGTCGAGGTGAAAATTCTTATGGACTAGAAACTGTGTGCAAGGTAAATTTCATAATATGTATGTAGTTTTATTTGGTTTGAAACACTTCTATTAATTAGAACCTATGTTTAGAAACTGGTTTTCCAAAAGCCTAATGGATTTGTGCTAGAAATGTCATCCTAATAGAAGAAAACAACATTTAGGAGTAATAAAAACCTGATCTATGCCCCGGCCAATTTGGCTCAGTGGTAGAACATTGGCCCTTGAACCTATGAGTCACAGGTTCGATTCCATTCAAGGGCACGTATCTCGGTTATGGTTCATCCCTGGCCCTGGTGGGTCATGCAGAAGGCAACCAGTCAATGCGTCTCTTTCACATCGATGTATCTCTCTCTCCCTCCCTCCAACTTTATCAGATGATAAATAGAAAAATACCCTCAGGTGAGGACTAAAAATAAAAAGCTGATCTATCATGATTTAGACCTGAATTTTTTTGGACCCAATAAAACGTCCTTTCAAATTTATTATTTCATGTTGAACCTCATAAAAATCCTAAAATAGGCATAATAGACATTATTACCTTTAATTTACATATTAGAAACATAGTATCTATTCAGTTAAGGTAAGGCACTTTGTAGTGAAAGAACCTGCTTATCCATATATTCATCATCACCTATCTTTCCTCTTTTATTTCTCATAATTTTTCTGATTCTGAAACAGTGGTGGGGAAACTTGGTATTATTTACCTTCCCTTTTTCTTATCTAACTTGCATTCTTTAAATGCATTGATACTTGAATGAAACTTAGATTGTTAAAATTTTAATATTCAGTCATAGATATTTAATACCATGTGCCACTTCTGCATGTCACCATTCTGCTTTGGCCTAACCAACACCTATGCACATCTCCACTGTAGATCATCATTTTCTTTTCTTTTGATCTGCCAGTGCCCGAAGTAAAAGCAACAGTACATGTATAACTTTTAAGATACTTCTGTATACTAATCTTAGAAGTTTTGTGAATCTATTATTAAAGCCAATGACTTAGTAATTATATTTTGCTTTTCCATTGTAGTCAGAATAGCTGTAAGAACGTAGTAACTATCAACCATGGGCCAAGCACATTGTCTCCTGATCACGTTTCTGTAGTGTAATAGTAAATAGAGCATAGACTATAAGAGAAAATGAAAGAGGGTGACTGAAATCTTGATCATTTTAAGTACAGTTTTTTTTTTTATGACCATTAACAAGCCCAGACATTGGGGCTTCTGCTGTGGTCATTAGAGAGAGCTCTGTGGTTAACAAAGTGCTTATAAATCTCTCTATTGATGTAAAGGTAATTACTGAGGAAAAATAAGGTACCAGCATAGCTTCCTGCACATGTTTGTTTTAAAGGATTGTAGAGCTAGTGTTCTAGTTTTAGGTCAGATTTGTAATAAAATGTTCTATTTTTTCATGTACTGTAGGTACATTGTAGTGTGGTGTCTCTGTTTGGTTTAATTTATTAATTTTCTTTTTTGATTTTAGAGAGAGAGGGAGAGAGAAATAGAAACATTGATGAGAGAGAACATCGATTGACCACCTCCTGCATGCCCCCCACTGGGGATTGGGCCCACAACCTGGGCATGTGCCCTGACCGGGAATCGAACTGGTGACCTCTTAGGGTATGGATTGATGCTCAACCACTGAGCCACACCAGCCGGGCTCTGTTTGGTTTTATAGAATGGGGTATATTAGAGCTATTTTGAGTTCTGCCTAGATTAAAACACTTAAATAAAATGAAGTCTTGAAATTATTCTTAATCCCAATTTTTTTTTCCCTAGTGCTGTTAAGATGTCAGTAAACCAGATCATGAATACCTACATTCAGACTGAACATAGAAAATTGCTTGAGCCCGGGCCAGGTAGCTCATTTGGTTAGAGTGTTGTTCCAATATGCCAAGGTTGTCAGTTTGATCTCCAGTCAGGGTACATATAAGAAGCAACCAATGAATGTATAAATAGAACAACAAATTGATGTTTCTCTCTCTCAAAAATCAATCAATCAGTTAAAAAAATTGCTTGAGGACAGATAGTGGAAGGGAACCTTGGTAATTAGATCTGACTGTAGAGTCTGGATGATACCAACCAAACTGTTCAGAGTGGATCTGGTGGTAGATGGTTGAAGAACTTGGACATGGAGTGGAGCGAGGCCTTTAGGCAGAGTGTGGATCTAATAGCAGGAGACTTACGAAGAATATTAATCTCCAGCCCACTTTCACTGACCTATCTTGAGTCCATAAGCAGTGGTAAATTTTCTGTCCTCTGAATTCTACCTTTATTGTAGTACCTTGTGTGTTCTTTTATTTCTCTCAGTAAGGTGTAATTTCCCTGCCCTCAGATGTCTGTTTAATTTTTTTTATCCCACATTTACAAATCTTTACATTTTATTATTGTTATTGTTTTTTAGAAATTGATTTCTTGCAGTTATTTTAAAAAAACATTTTTAAATGATTTGAGAGAGGGACAGAAACATAAATTTGTTGTTCCATCCATTCATGCATTCATTGGTTGTATTTTTTTAAAGGTTTTTATTGATATTTTTGGAGAAAAAGGGAGAGATAGAAACATCGAGCCTGCAACCTGGGCATGTGCCCTAACCAGGAATCAAACTGGGACCTATCAGTCCATGGGACAATACTCAATGCACTGAGCCACACTAGCCAGGTGTTTGGTTGCTTTTTGTATGTGCCCTGACTGGAGATCTAACCCACAACCGTGGCATATCAGGACGACGCTTTAACCAACTGAACTACCTGGCTAGGGCAGATCTTAACATTTTACAAGATAGTTACCTAACTTTTTCATTAAATAAAAAGTAAACAAACAATGATAGATTACTTAGATCCTAAATCTTTTTTAGGATATTCGAAATTTACGATTTGCTCATAAACCTGAGGGGCGGACGAGAAGATCCATATTTGAGAATCTAATGAAATATGCTTTTCCTGTGTCTAATAATCTGGTAAGATGTTTCCTATCTTTGAAAAATCTGTATTATAGTTATTGATGTAGTGTAAAGAAACTTGTCTAGGCTATCTAGAATCTACATTTACAATCGTGCTTTGCCTTTTAACCAGATATATAATGAAGGTTTTATCATATCTTGGACGCATTTTTTTAGGTATAAAATGAGGAAGCTGAATTAGCTGATTTCCAAGGTTCATTCCTGTGTACTGACATTCTGTAATTATATGATCTTTCTATCAAGGTGTATCCATGATGAAAAGCTGTATGTAGTCTTCATTAGGGTTTGAAATCTTTTTAATTAGGAGCTGACAGTTACGTCTAGCAACTTTAAGAGGACAGATACTTAACTGAGTTCCTACAATGTGCTGTTAACAGTATTAAGCTCCCTCATTTATATTATATGATTTAACTTTCACAGTAGCCCTATGATGGTAAATATTAGTTATCCATATTTTAAAGTTGAAACCAGGCAGCTAAGTAATTAACTCAAGGGCATAGCTAGTAGGAAGTAAAAGTTGGAATCAGTACTCTAGTTTGAATGTATTTCATCAATAGATTCCTGCCATTCTTTCTACATAAAGTATTTTGTTTTGTTACACAGATTACATGCCCAAAAGTAAAAAGTTTATTTAGTATGTTTTAGAAAATAGCATAGATTTCAAAGCTGCTTAACTGCTGATATCTGTAATTATATCAGAAGATACCTTTTTTATTATATGTTTTTCATTATTGAGAAGTAAACTTAACAAAGCTACTTATGATATCTGAAGGAAATATGGTGACACATTAACATTTCCTAAATCTCGGTGGTGAACCTCTGTGCTTTTCTGTAAGTTTGAAAAATAGGAAAAAACAAAACAAAACAAAAACAGTACGTTTTTAAAGTTATAAAACAAAGCTAAAAGAACAATATAAAAAAAGGTCACTAATACAAAATATCCTGGCAGATAAGTAAATGAAAACTTTGGATTTGATAAGGATACATTTCTGATTCATTGCCTCCTTAAATGTCTTTTTAGCTGTTAACTCTGTTTACTTTTTTTGCAGCCTCTTTTTGCTTTTGAATACAAAGAAGTATTTCCTGAAAATGGGTGGAAACTATATGACCCTCTTTTAGAATATAGAAGACAGGTATGTAATTTTAATATAGTGTATTCTTTTCATTACAATGAAAGTTTTATGGATAGAAGTAAACAGCTTTTTATAGTTTGTGTGATTTTTATTTTATTTTTTTATCTTTATTGTTGAAAGTATTACAGATGCCCCCATTTTTACCCCCATTGACCCCCTCCTCCTTGCTCCCGCCCCTTTCCTGCTTTCCCTGAACTATTGTCTGTGTCCATTGGTTATACATATATGCCTATAAGTTCTTCAATTTATCTCTTCCGAGCCCCCCCACCCCTCTTTCCTCTGAAGTATGTCAGTCTTTTTTTTTTTATCTTCGGGACATTTTTTTTTTTCCATTTTTTGTTCAGATAGAGTGGGAGGGAGAGAGAGGAAGAGAGAGAGAGAGAAAAAATCAACGTGAAAGGGACACATCAAGTGGCTGCCACCTGCATGACCAACCAGGGCCAGGGACAAACTGCAACTGAGGTATGCACCCTTAGCGGGAACTGAACCCGGGTCTCTCGGGACCACAGGCTGACGCTCTAACCACTGAGAAAACTGGCCAGTGCTGTCAGTCTTTTTTTTTTTTTTTTTTTAATGAAGGCTAATCCTGATTTGAGGGCTGCCTTTCAGTTTCTTTAAACTGCTTTGCCAATGAACTTTAATGAATCTTTACTTATCTAAGAGTTTACAGGTGAATCAGTTTATTTTAAAAATGTTTAATAATTTTTGGAATTAAGATAAAATGGTTAATACATTTATATTTTAATATTCTTACATGTCATTAAACATTACTTACTCAATTTTTCTCTTTTGGGTATCCTGTAATTTAATTCTGAAAACATTTCAAATAGTTCTGTTTATAATATAGTTCCACACACTTTTGAAAGTTTTACATTTTCACAGAATGTTAACAAATCAAATCTGATATCATGACTGAGATGGGTTGGTTTAATATTCGAATGTATATTAGTGTGATTTAATTTACTACAACAAGAAATATAGCTGAATCTAGTCTTGAAATCTGTTATAGTGAGTGTATCATTCTCCCTATTCTTCCTCAGTACTCTACTTCCCAAAGAGTCCCTATTCTGCTAATTTATTTATTAATAAATGAATAAATTTTATTTTCTGCTAATCCTCACTCAAGGATATTTTTTTCCACTGATTTTTAGAGAGAGTAGAAGGGAGAGAAGAAGGGAGGGAAGAGAGAGAGAGAGAGAGAGAAAAACATCGATATAACACACATTGATTGGTTGCCTCCCGCACATGCCCCAACCAGGGCTGTGGATTGAACCTGCAATCCAGGTGCATGCTCTTGCCTGGGAATCCAACTGGCAACTCTTCGGTGTGCAGACTGAAGCCCTAACCACTGAGAAACACCACTCAGGGCAATAGTCTTTATTTTCAACTTTCCAAATGTTCACTGTGCTTTCTTGAGAATTTAAGTTTAGACACACTGATTGTTTCATAGTAATCATTACTTTCAATACCCAAATTATTCTAGAATTCAGATATGAAAATCATTAAGCTGTGAGTTTTATATTTAGATTTCAAACATTGCATTTTAATTATAAAGCTTCTCATTTAATGACATGTGGAAAATAAAATTTAGAATTCCTCATTCAATTATAAAACCATCTGCTGGCAAAATATGAAGCAGAATACAAAATAAATGGATAAACTAAAACGCAGAGTCTACCAAGTGACATTGTCAGATTTTTGCTAACCCAAAAATCTAATGTCAAAATTTGCTAGAAAAGCAACCAGCAAATCTAACAAATGTTTTTAGAATTGTAAAAATGAAGACTATTCTTTGGGAATCTGGACAGAAATTGCTATCTGTTATTGTAGCATTCAACATAGAACTTTGGAAAGCAGATGAGATAACTGTATCCAGAGAAAAGAAATAAGTTATTATTAAAAAGAAAAATAGCCCTGGCCGGTTTGGCTCAGCGGTTAGAGCGTCGGCCTGCGGTCTGGAGAGACCCGGGTTCGGTTCCCGCTAAGGGCACGTACCTCGGTTGCAGTTTGTCCCCGGCCCTGGTTGGTCGTGCGGGTGGCAGCCACTCGATGTGTCCCTTCACATCGATGTTTCTCTCCTCTCTCTCAGTTCTTCTCTCTCCCTCCCACTCTACTTGAACAAAAATGGAAAAATGTCCTCGGGTGAGGATTAAAAAAAAAGAAAAGAAAAATAATTTAAAGAGTAAATGAACAACTATGCCCACACAGGAAGAGAATTATGAGATTAGGAAATGTAGCTGTCAGAATAGACCAGTGAACTCTGCATTATATGATGGGCCTTATGGTTTTTGACCTACAGGATGAATTTGTTGATTTTCTTTATGCAGTGTTAGACACTTAATTTGTCTCTGAGCAAACCAAGCTAAAGTCTAGTGGAGAAGACACTGCATTTGTAGTTAGAAGACTCAGTTTAAAAAAAAAAAAATTTTTTTTGTATATTATGGAAGAAAATGAAGATGATCTCTTAATATAAATCTCAGGACTAGACATAAAGCATCAGAGTGTTTTTTTAAAAACTGAAAAATGTTTAAAGTGGTAATTTTTTCACTCTGTATAAAATTCAAAAGGTCCAAAAGGATATATGGAAAGGTAGTCTCCCTGCCATCCAGTTCCTCTTCCTTTAGGAAATATTGTTACTGGTTATTTATATGTCCTTTCAGAGATTTTATGCCCACAGAGCCTGTATATGTATGTATATTATTTTAAGCAGATGATAGCATTCTGTGCGTATTTTCCGTGTGTGTGTGTGTGTGTGTGTGTGTGTAAAGAGGCTGGTGGCGCCCTGGCCGGTTTGGCTCAGCGGTTAGAGCGTCCGCCTGCGGTCCCGAGAGACCCCGGGTTCAGTTTCCACTAAGGGCATGTACCTCGGTTGCAGTTTGTCCCCCGCCCTGGTTGGGTCGTGTGGGTGGCAGCCACTTGACGTGTCCCTTTCACATCAATGTTTCTCTCTCTCTCTTTTCCTCTCTCCCTCTCACTCTATCTGAACAAAAATATGGAAAAATGTCCTCGGGTGAGGATTAAAAAAAAAGAGGCTGGTGACATAGTTCCTGTACCTAGTAGGTTCTCAAAATGTATTTTTTTTACTATAATTTGGTTTCTTTTGATTCTTTTTCTGTGATGGTATGAATTGTCAGAAGTCATAACATTTAAAAAAATATTTTAAAAATTCCAACCATTTAATATAATGGCTTTATTTTCTGTAGAATGGAGGGTGGAAACATTTAAGGTTCTTATTAGGCAATCCTGTATTTGACGTAATACCCTAGTTTTATATATAGTAAATATTGAAGGACCCAATGAGAGCTTAATAATCTATGTGTATTTTTAAAAATGTTTTTTTTTTTGTACATGTACCTAGCGGGAACAGAACCCAGGACTCTCTGGTCTGCAGGCCGATGCTCCAACTGCTGAGCCAAACCGGCCAGGGCTAAAAAAATCTTTTAAGTATATCTCTTGCCACTTGTCTTTTTGTCTTTGCCTTTTATTACTTCCTTGCTTTTCTAATATGTTTTAGATTGGAAATATTTAATTAGCATTGTAATGTAGGAGTGAAAATTTCACTTTAGTAAGTGATAAATGTGGTTATAGAATTGTGGTAGAAACTTGGTGCCTGCCCTCTCAGATTTCTTTGTGTAGGTGAATGGCAGCAAAATCAATTATCCAGTGAAACTGAATGAGTGTTCTTTCTTAAGATGGAATATTTAGCCCTGGCCGGTTTGGCTCAGTGGTTAGAGTGTCGGCCTGCGGTCCAGAGAGACCCGGGTTCGGTTCCCACTAAGGGCGCGTACCTCGGTTGCAGTTTGTCCCCGGCCCTGGTGGGGTTGTGCGGGTGACAACCACTCGATGTGTCCATTTCACATCGATGTTTCTCTCTCTCTCCCCCTCCTAATCTATCTGAACAAAAAATGGAAAAATGTCCTCGGGTGAGGATAAAAAAAAAAAAAAGATGAATATTTACAGTCTCACTGTTTCCTTTCTTCCTATTGACTACGCTTAGCACCGACCCAGCTAAACAATCAGTATTTAATGACTTAATAAATCTGTTAACATAAAATCAAATGTCAGAAAGAATGCATATTACTGTTAGAATCTCTCATCATAATAGGCTGGTCACCACGGGCAGACCATAACTCTTCTAACAACTTAAGAGCTGGATAGTGGAGATCGGAGAGGTTGAATAGGATGGCTTCTATTCTGATGTCTTGTAATATTTTAGTTAGGTAGTAATATGCGTTTTTGTTTTGTTTATTTTACATTAGGGAATTCCAAATGAAAGCTGGAGAATAACAAAGATAAATGAACGATATGACCTTTGTGATACATATCCTGCCCTCTTGGTTGTGCCAGCAAATATTCCTGATGAAGAATTAAAGAGAGTAGCATCCTTCAGATCAAGGGGCCGTATCCCAGTGAGTGTGAAGCTTTGATGAGACTTATGCTTTTGTATTCTGTCTACATGATGCCGAGATTAATGAGTGGCAGAATGGATGCAGGATAAAAATAGCTACCACGGCAGGTCTTCATGGGGATATTAGAGAATGAGTTATTTAATGAAACTAAAACTGGGGGAAAGACTTTGACTAAAGAAGTATCTGGAGAGTCTGGCATGGCTATTAGAGAAGTGCACAGAATTGCTTGATTCTTAACTTGAAAACAAAGTTGGTTCTTTGTATTTTCACTATTTATTTTATCATACATTTTTTAGTTATGGTTATAAATGCTCCTTTCCTTTAAATCCTAGAGAGAAAAAAACTTTACAAAATCTTGATAAATTACTGTGTTCTAGAAAGATCAGCTCAAATAATTTTAGGTACAGAATTCATAGATTCTAAAGACTATTTAGTTGGGTAGTTTTGCTGATAAAACTTTAAAAGTGGGGCTTACTTAGCCCCCTTTTATTGTAGGTTTTCTAGAAGCAACACTTTCCAATGATCAATGACTTTTATAAATCAATATCTGATTAAGGAATTAAACCAAGTTTTCCATATCTCAGAGTTGGCTTGAAAGAAAGGTGAGGATATTTAATAGCAGCCTCATATACCTTTTCATGGCTAGGTTTTGGATCCAGTTAGAAAGCAGAGTTTTATAGAGTGATGTTTTTGAGAAGAATTATAAACAGAAAAGTATATAAAGGGTGTGTCGCCATTTTGCTCCCATTTAGGTTTTATCATGGATTCATCCTGAGAGTCAAGCCACAATCACTCGATGTAGCCAGCCCATGGTAGGAGTTAGTGGGAAGCGAAGCAAAGAAGATGAAAAATACCTTCAGGCCATCATGGACTCCAATGCCCAATCTCATAAAATCTTTATATTCGATGCCCGGCCAAGTGTTAATGCTGTTGCCAATAAGGTGAGATTATTTTTCATTAATTAAGATTATAGTTTCATGAATCAGCTGAGTTTGGAGCCACAGTGTAGTAGAAAGAGTTCAGGGTTTCCAATGATAATGATGTAGATTCTAGTCCTGGCTCTCCTACTTGATGGTATCTTTGAGTTTACTATATGATCTTTTTAGATCTCATGTTGCTCATTTGTAAAATGAGAATAATAGTACCTAACAGAACTGTTAGGGACAAAAATCATCTAATAAAAAATAGTGCAGCTCTGTGCTTACATAAAGGTGGGTGTTCAGGAATTATTAGTTCTTTTCTTCCTTCTCCAAATGACAACTGAGTTCATGGCTAAGTCTGTGCAGCACTGCTGCAGTCATCGCGAGGCAGTGTTCTCGTGAGCAGTGAGCCCGTCTGACAGCCTCCACCGTCCGAGGCTTTCACACTGAAGACTTGAGGTTAGTGGGAGCAGTTGTTCTGATTGCTGCTACAGACACATATTTGCATTGTGGAAACAGACATTCTGGTTCAGTTGACAAAATCTACCATGGGAGAAGGTGAGAGAAGAGATAAAAACAATCCCCAGTAAGCAGTGTATATGTATTATAGAAGAATTACCTAATGCAGATGAGCTAACATAAAAGTACAGTTGTTCCTCACCACTTTGCACTTCGACTTTCGGGGCTTCACTCTATTGTGGTTTTTTCAAAAATATTCAATTAAAAAGTTGATTGAGACAGTGAAAATGATACAGCGTGTTCTCAGTTGTCTGAGTCAATTATACACCTCTGTGTTACAATTAAAATTAAAATTAAAATTACTGTATGTATGGACTGTAGACCTATGTATTCGAGCACCCCCACAAATCCTTCAATGCCAGGTGCCACCACTCGACCACTCCTTGTGTGTGGGCAATAACTTTTTTCAAAAAAATCGGGTGTGGTGAAACCAAACCAATCAGAGTGTGCTTTTAACTGATTGGCTATTCTGTCCTATTCCTATCCTGGCCCCTGATTGGCTCAGCTTCATGCAAGTTTGTTTCTCTCATACATGCTTCTACATCACTAAGCATCGAAAACATCTTTGCTCTTGTAAGTGTTTGCGATTTCTGAGAAGTTTTATCTAAGTCCCACGATGGCTCCTAAATGTGCTGCTTTTTCTAAGCCTTCTGACGATGAAACTAAGCACTAGAAGAAGATGCTTTCCATCCAGGAGAAGGTGAATCTCTTGGATATGACCAAAGATGGCAAGAAAATTGTGGCAGTTGCCTGCCGTTACAACTTGAATGAGTCTACCGTTCGCTCCATCTGTAAAGATGAAAAGAACATCCGTGCAACGGCTACTGTCTCTTTCAACAAGGAAGCAAAGCGCATCATGACAAGTCCTAATAAGTTCATGGTGAAAACGGAGTCTGCCCTAGCCATTTGGATCAGCGACAGCCGCAAGAAAAACATTTTGTTGGATTCACTGGTCATCCAGGAGAGGGCAAGGCAGCTCTATCAGCGCTTTACGGCGGACGGACCTCAACCAGGACCCTCTTCTGCAACATTCTTGAATTTCACGGCAAGCAAGGTTTGGTTTGAGAAGTTCCAGAAGAGGTATCATCTGAAGAGTGTCTTTCTCCACGGAGAAGCTAGCTGCCTCTGCTGACCAGCCTGCAGCAGAGGACTATGTGAAGAATACATTCCAGAAGATTCTTGAGGAGGGCGAGTATCATCCAGAACAGGTGTTCAATATGGACAAACCAGGACTGTTCTGGACAAGAATGCCTTCCCAGGCATTCATTTTCAAGGATGAGGCCAAGGTTAGTGCCTTCAAGGCACGTGTAACTCTCATTATGTGTGGAAATGCTGAGGGATTTTTGCTCAAGCCTGCTCTTATCTACAAGGCCAAGAGCCCTAGGGCCCTGAAGAATGAAAACAAGAACTTGCTGCCAGTGCATTGGATGCACAATGACAAAGGCTGGATCTTGAAGCAGTCGTCAGCAGACTGGTTCCACGAGTGCTTCATCCCCCAAGTCAAACTGTATCTCGCAGAGAAGAGACTCGAGTTTAATATTCTTTTTCTCAAGGGCAATGCTGGAGGCCATGCGCAAGACCTATCCTACGATGGTGTGCAGATCGAGTTTCTTTCTCCCAACACCACTTTGCTGATCCAGCCCATGGATCAAGGCGTTATTCACGTGTTCAAGGCCCTCTACACGCAAAACACCCTGCAGTACCTCTAAGGGATGACCTTGAGGAGAACTTCTTGCTGAAGGAGTACTGGTGACAGTATACCATCGTGATCAGTCTGAAGAACATCCAGGCCGCATTGAAGGACATAAAGACAGAGACCATGAAGGCCAGCTGGAAGATGTTGCGGCCTGAACTTGTTCACGACTACAGAGGATTCACTCCAGAGGATGTAAGCAACTCGGCAGTGGATAAGGCAGTTAGGCTAGCCCAGATGCTGGGAGGAGAAGGTTTCAGGGATATGACCCGTGATGATGTGGGTGAGCTGTTGGAGACACATTCGGATCCCTTAACTGACGAGGCTCTGGTGGAGATGACTAAGTCTGCGAGTGAGGAGGAGGAAGAGCAGCCAGAGGTTCCTGGGGGTCAGGAGGAGGAAGGTGACATCTCTCGCAAGTCGTGAGAACTATTAAGGTAGTACAGTGATTGGTGAATGGGACCTACAAATGATGCGTGCACTGCAGTTCCAGAATGCTCTTGATGGAGCGATAGCACCCTCCCTATAAATGCCTCCTCACGCATATGAAAAGACACACCAACAACTGCCTATCATGATGTTCTTCAGTTGCGCAGCCAGACACCACTGCCTACTCCTAGTGCTCCTTCAGCGGAAGAAGACAATGACGCACCTGCTGAAGATACTGCACCACCTGAAGACACTCCTACTGAGGTCGTGCCTTCAGAGGAACAGTAACCATGCTCATCTTTGCTGTGCCATACATCTCTTCATCTTCATCGCTTCATCATCGAACAAGTTGTACTATTTCATAGGTTAGTGGTTGGGTGTAAGAACTGTGGCTATGTGTAATTAAATGTATAATAATAATGTATTTGTAACGTCTAATATGTCTTATTTTCTCTTATTTTGTCTAATATATTGGGTAATATGAGTGTAATGGTGACTAAAGGGTATTATTTCATATCTAGAGGGCTCTAATAATGTTAAAAAACATATTTAGAAGGTCGTAAACAGGTTTTTTGTGCTCTAACTGCAAAAATATTCGATTTACAAATAAAGAATCCTACTTTGCGGAAATTCATTTATTATGGTAGACTCTGGAACTGATTAACCATGATAAACGAGGACCAACCGTATTTTAAAACACCTTTAATCCTATAACTAGGATAGAAACATCATTAAATAGTGGTTATACTTCCAGATTTATATGTATATGTATACACTCATATATTTGAAACAGAAAGGGATAATTGTAACTTTAAAAAAATTGACACTATATCTGACTATGCAAATAAACATTCACCAGTAACATTATTTTAAGGGTACAAAAACTAGTAATACCAACTGTTGTTGGATATTTGGTTTATCTCTGGGGGTTTTGCTAGTATTAACAATGCTGGGATGATCATCCTTTTAATTAAATTGTGGAGCATCTACCTAATTTTTCACTTCTTTTAATATTTTGAGGGTATTGTGAGTTCTAGTAATTTTTTATTAAACCGTAAATATTCCTTCTTAAAGGAGCAATGAGATGATATGTATATGAAGCCTGTAGCCCAGGGACTGGCATATATTTTTCCAGTAATTACTTGTTCCGCTCCCTAAACTTTATATCATGAATTAGCAGGAATGAGACTTAGGATGTTTTCTAGGATGAGTAAAGAAGAGAGGACTGTAAGGTAGAAATGGTGGTAGACCAAAATGTTCTACTCCTCATCTTAAATTCTCACATATATTTTATTATGGAAATACCCTCTTTTTTAAAGACTGAAATATATATTGGGGCATTTTTCTGATTACAAAATATGTAGTGGACAATATGAAAAACTAGCAAGACATAGAAAAAGTAAAGAAAGAAAATAAAAATAATTCATAATCACTAATATTTTGATATATTTTTCTCCACTAGGTTTTCTATGCATTCACTTGTTGGTTATTTTGTTTCATTGTTTTTTCTCTTACCAATATATTAATGAGAATTATTTCTTTTCATGTCACATTCTTGAAAAGTAATAGTACTCGTCATGTAGATGTGTAATTATTCATTTAATCATTCTTATAATGGGCATTTAAGTATTTAGTATTTTAAATATAGCTAAATTGGTGTCTTCTGTTGGCATTGTTGATTATTTCCGTAAAACAGTTTCCTGGATACATAGTTACTATATCAAACTTTAAAATATGCATATTTTAAAAAGTTGTGTTGCATATTGCAAATATTCTTCAGAAGGGTTGATCCAGTTTACTAGCCTGATGTCACCCCCACTCTGCTTTTTTGAGATGTAGTGGACATTTAACATTATATAAGTTTAAGATATACAGTGTAATGATTTAATATATGTATACATGTTGAAATGATTACCACAATAATTCTGGTTTAACATCCATCACCTCACATAGTCACAACATTTTTTCCTTGTGATGAGAACTTTTAATTTTTTATTTTATTTATTTTTTATTTTTTTTCTATCTTCACCTGAGGACATTTTTCCATTTTTTGTTCAGGTAGAGTGGGAGGAGAGAGAGAGAGAGAAACATCGACGTGAAAGGAACACATCGAGTGGCTGCCACCCGCACGACCGACCAGGGCCGGGGACAAACTGCAGCCGAGGTACATGCCCTGAACGGGAACCGAACCCGGGTCTCTCTGGACCGCAGGTCGACGCTCTAACCGCTGCGCCAAACCGGCCAGGGCGTGATGAGAACTTTTAAAGTCTGCTCTCTTAGCAACTTTCAAATATACAATAAAGTATTAACTATAGTCACCATGCTATACATTAGATCTCCAAAACTTATTCATCTTATAATCAGAAGTTTGTACCTTTTG